TTATGATAATGGTCAAGAGCAATGGATTATGAAAAATTTATGAAAATTTATGGGGCTTAATGTAATTGCTGTCATATTTGCAAGGCAAAAATACAGCCTTTTTCAGAGATTCAAGAATCTCTGTAAAGACTTGAATTTAATTTGCAAAGAGAAGAGAAGAAAATTTAGCTCATGAATTCAGGGAATATTTTTCTTCTATTAATTATTTATTACCTGACTTTTTTTCTATTAATGAAATTTAGGAATGGTCAAAATTCTTGGTGAGATTTGGATAAATGTGGGAGAAAGAAAAATAATATAAAACTCTCCCTAAAATAAACTGGAATATCAAAGAAAGCTTGTCTAACGTCTGTAAATTTGCTCAATAACAAGTGGTTTTTCTACACCTTAATGCTTCTACAGTGAAATTCTTTCTCTGACAATTCCTTACAAATATTTCTGTTGAAGATTCTGCCCTTCTAAAGAATCAGCAAAAGAGAAATTTTGCCTTAATATCAGCACTTGTTAGTGTAAGTCTAGCATTTTGGACCAAAACACTGATCAGACTCAGCAGAGAGCTGACACTGCCATGCCAGCTGCAGCCTCATGAGCCAAGAGCTGGAAGGTATTGATGGCTCAAACTGTCACAGGTCTAGGTGCCTAAAGCATATTGGCTCCAAAGATAAAGATTGAAGCTCCAATGCTGAAGATAGTGAAAAAATCTCTTTGCCTTCTGCAGGACAGAATCATGGTTTACAGACATCAACCTGGCAATTCCACACCTACTCATACCGCAGAATTAAAGGTGATTTTGATAAACGTGAAAAAATAGAGATGGTGATTCTAGCAGGAAAGCTACAAGAGAAAAGTTTATTGTATTCGGCGTCTTTCCCCACCATTTGTTACTCAAGGTGTATTTACAATAACCACAATATTTTCAGTTTTTGAAAAAATTATTTAGAAAAACAAAACCGAAGGTTAAAACAGGTCTACAAATTAATCAAAGAAAAATATAAGACTAATTTCAGACAGACACATTGTAGTAGGCCTTTTTTCTAACTGTTAATGAAAATTCAGAAGTGAGTAAACATATCTAGCTTTTACATTATATGCTTGTTTTTACATAGGCAAAATGCTTAATTTTTTTCTGCAAAATAGAAATAAAATATTTTCATGACACAAAAGAAGGATGATAGGGTTAATTCAAGTCAGTGAGTTGCTCTGAGATCTCATGTCTGTGAGCTTATACCATAGCAACTTGTGATTTTTTTTAATTAAGTGCATTGAAAATTGGATATACTGGATATCGCCAAGAACACACTTTTTTTTAAGATTCTCTGACTGACTTCTCATGCAGATAGGCCTGGATAAATCACAGGTTTATCTGGATGCTTATCCAAAGTGAAAATAACACAGTAAGTTTGAACTGTGTTCTTTAGCCTTTGCATGAGATTTTTAGGAATAGTACACAATACACAAGGACCTCAATGCTAGTCACTTTAAAAAGGTCAGAGAAAACTTATTTCTTAATACAAATGGAATAGGAGTTATCTGTCAAAATAATGATACTACAATGAATGATATCCACTGTTTATAACACTCTAAATCTGAAAACAAATCTGATAGACTTTGCAAATGATAATCCAATCCCCTTTATCTAGGCATAGTGAGTAGGTCCACTAGAGGAACATTGCCACTTTTGCAAGTAAATAAGGCTTCTACTTCTTACAATAAATTAAATCAAAATAGCCAAGGACAATATTTCAGTTTTAAATTTTTATATAAAATCAAAGCACTAAAAGACAATCTGGGGAAGTAGAATGAACACACTGCCTAATAACCTATCTGTCCTCTCTTCTGAGTAGTATGTGTCATCACTATAATTTTTTTACTGAGTCACTCTGTTTGACTTATTGACATGGGTGGGATGAATTTTCTGGTTATAGTCCAGCCATATAACATACATATACAGATATTTATCTCTTTTAGTGAGACTATGACTTTTTCAGGGTGCAATTTTAAGAGTAACCATCTCAAAGCATGTATAATGTACCATTTTATCTGTAAACACAGGTTCACCTGGTGTTTAAACTAGTTTGAATTGATAGCACTGTTTGACCTTGGAAAAATGTTATAGATAGGTGAATTATTTAATACTGTAACTTACTCAGTGGTGCTGTCTGTTGACGTTTCTGGTAGCATAGTAATCTTAGAATCCAAGATACTAATCTGAACTGAACTTGATTTTATTTAATGTTTCTTATTAACTGACCATTCAAAAGAAAATGTAAAAATTGCCTGTTTCAACATTTCCTTTAGTAAACTAAACATGAACTTTGGGTTGCTATGCTACATCCAATACTATTATTTGAAACTATGCTCTAGTCAATATCTGCACCTCTGTGGACTTGAAACACCTGCTACTGGAAAAACCTAGCAATTTTCTGTTGATTTTATACTGAAAGGTTGCATTCCAACTAGAACAGGGTGGAGGTGTACACAACAAATATTTTCTGCTCTTCTTCTCACAAAGTTGAATACATTTCTTGTCAACATCAGTGTGACTTTGTGTAATTCTGTCTGTCTTCCTCAGATATCCTTGGATGCTAGCTATAAAATAAGAATATAAGTTTGAGAGTTTTTATAAAGAGTTTTGGCATCTTAAAAATGAAAAATAGGATATAAGTGCAAAGCACTGTTGTTTATCACCATGTATGAATATGAAATTCAGTCTGCTGCCTTATTTCTCCCTTTCACAATGCAAGAGGATTATAAATGTCAAATAGATTTTTTTTTTGTTAGTCATAATACAAGAATAACTTGTTGTGCATAAAACTTTATCAAATTAAAACCTTATATGCTTCTTTTGGAAATAAAGTGTATGTACATCCTAAACAGAAAATGTTTCACTAGTTAGAGTAATTTTAGAACAAATGTCTTTGTCTATAATGTTTTCCCTGATGAATAGTTGAAGGTCACATTATTAAAAGTGTTAATAAATTACAATATTTATGTTAGGTAATTAAACATGCCAGATAATAATAATTAAAAAATCTTATACATTGGATTCAATCTTTTTCTATCTCCCCTTACGTAATTCCAGGAAAATAATTTCAGAGTTAAAAAGAAAGTAAATACAGATTTGTGTTTGTACTGAAAAGAATCTAAATAAGTAAATATTTTTTCCAATTGTGTGTAATATGACAAATGCATTTTTGCCCCCAAACCACTGCAATTAAGAAATCATGTTAATTCTAGTTTTTTCTTTGTAAAAAATCTAAAACTTCTGATGACATGCTAATTTTTCACCCTGATGTTGTGCCAAGTCATAATGGCCCTAAGCAGCCCCACCCGGGATCCTGACTGATGCTTGGATCTCAGTTCAGGTATGGTGGAGGTGCACCTGTCCTAAACTCTGCCTCCAGGGTGGACCTTTAGATATACTCTGTAACCTTGTTCTCAGACCTGCTTTTGGCCCGAGTCCTTGTGCTTCTGATAGAACAGAAAGGAGCTGTGAAGGGTCTGGAGCACAAGTCTTTGAGAGGTGGCTGAACTGGCGTTGTTTAGTCTGGAGAAGAGAAAGCTCAGAAGGAACCTCATCAATCTCTACAACTACCTGAAAGAAGGCTGTAACAAGGTGAACATTGGTCGTTTCTCCCAAGCAACAAGAAATAAGAGTGTGAGGAAATGAACTCAAGTTGCTCTGGGGGAGGTTAGGAAAAATTTCTTCACTAAAGCTGTTGTCAAGCCTTGGAGCAGGTTGCCCAGGAAAGTGGTTGAATCCCCATGCCCGGAGATTTTTAAAAGACATGTAGATGATGTGCTTAGGGGTGTGCGTGGTTTAGTGGTGGGCTTTGCAATGCTGGGTTAATGGTTGGACTTGATAATCTTGAAGGTCTTTACCTACCTAAACAATTCTATGATTCTAAGATCTTTTAGGTAAAGTCCCCCATCAGAGCCTTCAGTGAAAGTGAAGATTGACTGTCACATAGGTTGTAGACTTCAAGCTACTCTTCTGAGAGTTTTTATTTGTCTGCAAGCATGTGACTACACAGGATTAAGTGTGGTATTCCAGATCTTAAATTGCTGCATCATATCAACCAGACATAGGCCAAAGGACTGCTCTCAGTTAACGCTCAGTTCCTAGACTAGGAAAAGCTGCCTAAAAATCATGCTGATGGAAATGAAATGTACCTTCCAGATTTTTTAATTCAAAGTAGTGTATTTCAGGCATAGATTTATGATTTTAAAAGTCTGTAAACTATCTATTGCCTCTAAAAGGGACAGGATTCAGAGTAGCATGCAGTTGAGACAGACTCTACCTAAAACTACACTTAGGTGTCCTTTTATGACTGATTAAAATTTAGTTTTATTGCATTATACTAATGCAAGTAACTTAAAAGCATCTCAGTATCTGTGCTTTTGATTAAAATTTCAAACCCATCCTAAAATCTTTAAACTGTCATCTTGCAGATCATGGATTTTCCATCTTCAATAGGTCTCAGCATTTCAGTTTTCAAGTCTTTACACAGTCTGCTGAGTTTCCAGTTTTACATTTCCATTTTTCCATATTCATTTTCATTACATCCAATAGAATAGACTGATAAACCTAGGGAACCTATGAATCGAGTGAATCTCACCTCAACAATCCATGACTTGTTGAGACCCTGGGGGCACCCCCTGGGTTGGGGAGACACAAGAAACATCCCTCAAAAAGCTGTTAGACCCCGTTGGCTCCTTTCCTTGTTCCTATGTCTGTTCCTATGTCCCTGAGCCACTCCCTCCCTATTCCCTGATTGGTCCTTATCTTTGTACTGCCCCGAGACCAGGGGTCAGCTGCAGCCCCTTGGGAGGGAGAAAGCTGAAACCTCACTGTGTGGCTGAATTAAATATCTGTGGATACCATGTAAATGCCTTTTTTTCTTCTTTACCCTGGACTTTACTAGCAATTCAGCAGCAACAATGACTCTTCACCAAGAGGTACTGAGAATAAATGAAACTTTTGCCTTATTTCTCTCCAGTTGTTCACCACTCCAGTCAAGCCTGTAGCTCCGCATGGGGTTGTTGTGACCTAAGTAAGATTCCAGCACTTCACCGTGTTGAACTTCTTAAAATTATTCCATGTAAGTATTTGGGGATCCTTATTTTGGATTTTTTTTTTTTTCAGAATAGAATTCTGCAGTGGACACTGATGTTTTTATTGTACAAGAAATTTACTGATTAAGCCAGAAATTTATCTCTTCATTCTGATTAAACCGATTCCAAGACTCCATGGCTTTTTGGTCAAGAAGGATGAAAAATCTTCTTTTTGCTTAACCTATACTGTTGAATTTTATTTCCTACAGCATATATAGAAATTCATTCAAGCTACTTTTAAAGCATTCAGTTTCAAAGAGGATCCTGGGTATTTACATATTTTGTATTTGTAGGTCTTATTTTCTGTTTTTTCAGCCGGGCACTCCAACTTGATTCTGGAATATCCTTATAAATATGGAAACTGAAGATTTAACACATTAATTTGACAAGTGAGTGCTTCCTGCCTCGGAACAAGGCAGTTACTGTTTCTGTGCAAAGAGCATGGTGTTTGCAATGAGGTTGGAATGGAAGCAATGTATGCAGATTGTCTCATGAATATGCATTTTTCTCAGCACTTTCATCAAGATGTGTAATGCTTTGGTCAGTGTTGCCTTTATAAGCATCTACAAGGCCTTTATGTTCTCTGTTCCATAATGACACAAAACTGCTTACATCCCCATAGATTCTTCTGTCATTCCTGTTTTCCTGAGATGTTGTTGGCTACCTTCTGAGACCTTCCTGCCCAAATTATATTTAAATTATTTTTAAATTATATTTAAAAAAATTATATCCTGCTTAAATAATTGCTTGAAGACCTGAGTAAAGATTTGCAGTTTTGTAAATTACTGTGTTTGGAGTGTCTGTCATCACAGAATGTAGAACAGAATTGTAGTTTTAATGTGCTTTAACACAGGATCATCATGAGTCTCAGGGCACGTACTTAGCCAATCTTGTGTGAGGGAAGCACAAGGTGCAACCATATTTTGTCTACAGTATCTGAAGACTCATTGTTATTGTAATATCTGTAACCTTTTCATTTAGTAGAAAAATTCACATTTATTCCAATTGAAATGACAATTTTGTAATTTTTGCTAACTTTGTCTATCTTGTGAGTCACACAACTGCTCTTGTTGATTTCTGACCTCGTCCAAACCAAAAATAATGTGTATAGAAAAACCAGTACAGCCATTCCATTTGAATGGCCTTTGCAATACCAGTTGCAATAAACAATGAATATGGCACATGTTGTAATACACTACCAGGAACTATATTTTCATATTAAATTAAAAGTAAAACTAATATTTTCAGAACAGAAATTAAGAGAGTCCTATATCATCTTCTTTGCCTTTCTGCACTCTATGGACAAAAATACAGAACCTTGCCTCATCCAGGTGTTATCTGAGTTCTGAACCTGCAGATTTATTTTAATACAAAGACTCCCTTCTTTTTCTATTGAATATAATGTTACCAGAATGTAATGCTTGTGTATACTAGATAAGGGAAAACACTTGGTTGTGTGTCTTGTTTTCTTTGCTCATCTATTTCTATTTGTTATGTTACAGATGAATGTTCACTTTCATCTCTGTGGTAGAGTGACTTGGATACTTCTCTCAGCTTCAGGTGCCAGGATGTATTGAAGCCTTTCCAAAAAATACATGTTTGTACAAAGTAGCAGAGGGTGACTGATTGACATAAAACTTATGTTGCCAAATTATAATGCTAGCAAATTATAGTTCTCCTATTGACTATACATTTTACTTATTTGCTATTTAAAACCATGAACAAGTATGTTCTGAGAAATTCAACCAGTGGGTGATTAGAGAAAAATGCTTCTCTTGCTGTGAACAAAGGGAAAAACTACAGTTTGGGTTTTTTTCCCCTTGCATTTTGATTTAAAGATAAGTAGAATGAGGAGAAACCTTCTTTGCAAATTGCATGTAAATCTCTGCTTTTCTTGAGAGGTGATGAAGGGGAATGAGATGGTGAGGTTGATTGTTTTCAACATGCCAGTTCAGGAAATTTTTGTACCGAATTTCTGTGCTTTCTCTAGTCTCTTCAGATTACTTGGAAGGAAAGATTCAAAACAATGTAATAACCTCATTTGTGATAATTTTGTGGATGATTATATGTTCTGAGTGATGATTACTTTACACCTATACCCTTGTCTTATCCTAGGGACAATGAAAACTGCATTGCTGCATTTTGTAACTGTTTTTGGTTTTGTTTTGTTTTGTTTGGGTTTTTGGGGTTTTTTTTTTGGTTTTTTTTTTTGGTATGTGTTGGTTTGTGGGGTGCTTGTCTTTTTGTTTCATTACACTTGATGTTTTTTTTTTTTTGGTATGTGTTGGTTTGTGGGGTGCTTGTCTTTTTGTTTCATTACACTTGATGTTGCATAATTCTGAAGATCCTGTTTCCTTGCTTTCTGCTTGAAGAGCAGGAAGGCTCTACCCACTCTGCTTCACCCTATCTCACAGTTTTTATACCACCAGATGCAGGCAGAAAATAAGGTTCTTTACCCTCTAGAAATATTTAGGAATCTATCCATTGCATTCAGTGGGATTTGGATAAAGGCCTAAAGCAACATAACACAATTATGCAGACATTTCCTTTTTCTTTAGAACCCTTTAAAGGCTTATCCCTTTGTTTTGTTTCTCAAGTCTCTGATACCAAGAGAATAATATCTGTCTAAGAGTTAAAGACATATGAGCAGTAAGGAGAATCATAATATAGCCAAACTTCCAGTGCTACATCTGTGATGCAGATTCCTAAACATGGTTTAAGAATGAAATTACTGCAGTGTAACTCAGAGCTTCAGTGATGTGAAAACTTTACTTTTTCTTCCTAAATTAATGAAGTCCACATTTAATGCAAACTCATTACACTGCTTGTTCACACTAGAAAGTAAGGTAGTCAAAACTCAGCTCTGAGGTGCTGATTTTTGTGTTCTGTAGCCTGATATAAAAGATGGGTGCCATTTTTATTTGGGCAAGCCCATCAGGAAAAAATTAATAAAAGTTGCCATTCTAGCATATATCCAGAGCTGAATTCTGAGGTCAGTGGAATTTCCTAAGTGAAGAATATTGTAGAGTGAAACATTTACTTCATGTCATTTAGTAGAATGAAGTCATTTTAAAAGGAGTCACTAATTTATTTAGTTCTATTACTATATGAAACAGAAGAGAAACACAGTAATATTCTTCAAGACAAACTGTTATTTTTTGAAACAGGAAATATTTTCCTTCTCAATAACCAGCTAAGTGCTGCATTTTCCACTCTTTTCAGGAATATTATAAATTCTGTGGGATATTAGTAGCCTAATTTAGTTCAGAAAATTATGCTTTGACAATGCATAAATAATTCTATATTGAGGTTTTGCAACATCTAACACATTTTATCCATTTTTTGCTGCTATGTTTAAGTATTTGCAAAGTATATAAGTAAATAAAACTATTTGCAGTACATACTATATTCTCAAACTGCTCACATTTTTTGCTGTGTGTTATTTCAGGTGTGAAATTCAGCACATAAGTCAATGTTAAGATTTCTAGTTTCTGCTTTGTTATGGTTATTATTTTCTTCTTCATTGTATGATTAAGATGACAGTGTGGCCTCATTAATTCAATGGAAGATTTTGGAGTAGGTTACACAATTAAAAGGATAATCATACTCTTTTCAAGTTTATAACTCCTGCTTTAATGTCTATTTGAATTTTTGCTGACTTTTTTTTCACATCTGTGTTTAAAGGTTGGCTGACTGACATAAAGCTTAAAAGTGTGCTGTGTATCATTCTGAACACTGTTGTATTTGATTAGTCATTATGATTTATAGTTAAAGTTTCATCAAAACGCTTGCCTGATCCAAATAAGTATGTATCCCATTTCTTCTATTTTTGGTGGAGTTCAGTCTGGCTTCTCCAGACACAGTTTAATTTTCTGGTTTATCAGATCAATTTGTCACAAAGAACAGGAACAGGTGAAAGAGCAGATCATCAATTCCTGTTGTGTATGGGGCTGAATAATACTGAAATTGTGTTGAATTAGAACTCAGTGCTTACTGGTAGGGAAGAGAGAGACCTGTAATATATAGCAATTTTCAGTCACCATGTTATACTTGGAGCACACAGAAATACTAGCTCCACTATACCTAGTTATTGATTGACAGTAGTGACTAAAGATAGAATAAATTGATGAAAACCTCAAATTTCCTTCTACCCTTACTGTTTGTTTTAGAGAATAAGCAACCATTAATCATTAGTACTTCCTTTTCATCCCTAAAATTTTTTAAAAATTTTTTCAGGGTCTGAACTTGAGTTTCTGATCTACTAAAAAGTGGTATTTTTCAACTGAAGACAGAACTGTAAAAAGCTGATTCTCTGCTAGAGATATTATGTGCAAACTAAGAAGACTTTATGGGCTGTGTCCCTAGTAAGCTGTTGGTCAGCTGAGGAAGAGAAAGAAGTCAGATGATTTCCATCAAAATGCTATTCAAGTCCTACAATTATAGCCCAGGGGAAAGAGATTAATGCTTGAAATATAACTGAAATTTGGAGATGGATTTCTTGTAGCTGGATGGTACTTATTTTCACTTCATAACACAGTCATGAAATGAATAATTAATGACAATTAATAACAATTTTTATGAATATACTTCAGCTTTTGGAGTGAATCACAATATGTCAAAATAGTGTATCCCTCTCAGAACCTTTACAGAAGAATAAATAGCTTACAGCTTTTTAACTTCAGGCTTATGCTTTCATTGATTCAGAGACTCACATAGTCCAGAATTACATAGTCCAGAATTACATCCCTGGAAATAAATAAACCTGGTGTAGAATTTTTTTAATGGAATTCAGATAGAAAGGGAAAAAGCAATTTTGGTACTGACTTTTTTTTACTTTGTCAAAGACATGTATAACTAAGGTTAGTTTTGACATGAAATTTCATCTCATGATAATAAAACAACATTTGGTGACTCTTGAACTCTGAAGTCAAAATGAAAGAAACAATAGTTAGGTGCTTTCTGACAGTTCTTTCCCTT